ATATATATATATATATATATATATATATATATTGCATTTGTGAAAGAGCTATTAATAAAGCTTGTAGCATAAGTAGATATCAAGATTTTAAATTACTCTCTCCTTTATCTCAATCGCCTTCAAGGCACATCAGCAATAAAGTTAATTGCAAACTATTAAAGTTGAAAACTAATCCTTTCAAGTCATGTTTTAAGGTATTAATCAAAAGGGTTTTGAGACAAAATTCTAATACTAAAATCTCATTCAAGCAGCAGTGACGGCGGCCGGCTGCTGCCTGGTTGAGACATGGTGGTTGCCACCCAACGTCTCTTCCTCCACCACCACCAGCATCCATGTTGTATAAGTTTGGTAGGTTGTGTGCATTGTCTTAAAATAAACAGGGACAGGGTGATTTGCAAGACATGCCATCCAGCCTTGTACTTCAAGTGCTACACACAGATACATATATATACATATATTTCAAGAAGCAATTCAATAGAAAAATATCTCATATCCCTCCTCTTACAATCTGAATTTCCCCAAACAAAAACATGAATCCTAAGCTCATATGTTTCTCTCTTTTCATTGCAGCCTTAGCATCTAACCATTTCTTGGCTCTACATGTCATGTTCTTTGAATGTTTCAATAATTTTAACCCTAAAACATTCTCATTACCTCTTATTTCAACTCTAATCTCACACCATCGCCATCACCATAAGGAAAGAATAATAAAATCCATATGTGACGATTTTCCGCCCGATATTCCGCCTCCCGATACCAACACGACGTCGTTCATCTGCGTCGACCGTAACGGTTGCTGTAACTTTACCACAGTTCAAGCTGCAGTTGATGCTGTTGGAGTTTTAAGTCCCAAAAAAACCATCATTTGGATCAATAATGGGATTTATTTGTGAGTTTTTATTGGCTTTTTCTTTTTATTTTTTCTTCCTTGCAATGTTTATAGAATTGTTTATATATTTTTTGTTATTATTTGGTGATTAATTCAGTGAGAAAGTTATGGTGCCAAGATCAAAACCTAATATCACATTTCAAGGGCAAGGGTATACTTCAACTGCAATTGTGTGGAATGATACAGCAAACTCTGCTCATGGCACTTTTTACAGTGCTTCCGTGCAAGTTTTTGCTACCAACTTTATTGCCAAGAACATAAGTTTTATGGTACGTATATCGTATGTTGAGTAAAAACTTCGATTGATAACTCAACTTATAGACGGTTTCAATTTGTTCCCAATTAGTCATCTAGCTTTAAGAGATTGTTTCGCATTGATCACTCGGGACGGTCGCAACTTATAAATCGTCTACCTGAATTAAAGCATCACCCCAATAAGTCTATCCACAATGGAAAAACATATTTTTGTTTGACACATAAGATTTAATATTAATTTTTAAAATGGAGATGAATACAGTGATCAACGTGAAACAAAATTTAAAGTTGGTGACTAATTTGGAACAAATTAAAGTTTAGTAATCAACATGAGCTTCAAATTAATGACTAATTTTGACTAAATTAAAGATAAATGACCAAATCGAAACCTGAAAAAGGAGGAACGATCTCTATCAAATATTTCTCAAATTAAACAGTAAATAAGAGGGAGATTAATGAAATAACACTTCAATATTTATGATCTAATTCGAGCAGAATGTGGCTCCGATACCTAGCCCGGGTGCGGTCGGAGCACAAGCCGTGGCCATTAGAGTCGGAGGAGATCAAGCAGCCTTCTGGGGTTGCGGTTTCTTTGGAGCACAAGACACACTACACGACGATAGGGGTCGACATTACTTCAAGGATTGCTATATCCAAGGTTCGATAGATTTCATCTTTGGTAATGGAAAGTCATTTTACGAGGTAATTAATTTTTGTTTTTTATTTATATTTATTTTGAAAAATCTCTTCATATATACCACCTTTTAATTACAACTTATGTTCACGACGATCTTACCAAATTATTTACTAATCCGGACCGGGAAAAGATCTTAGACAAAACCCTTAAACCGGGAAAAGATAGATAGTAAATAATGCATACATTCTTGAGGGGAGTTGAGTGCAAGATATTATTGCCAACCTTGAATGCATTTAACTTGTGGCCCTCTTCATGCATAATAAATGATGAAAAACACGACTAATTATATTTTTCTTAATTCACACGATTGTGCTATGAGGAATGCACAAAAATCTGTTAATCTCGATATAAAATCATTTTATATTTTAAAAAGTTGCCGAACATTAACTCGAGAAAGGTAAAGGATCAAGGATTAAAGCTAACCGTATCACATTAATAATTTGTAGAATTGTCAAATAACCTCCATAGCCAGCCCAGTCCCAGTCGGAGCGAGAGTCATCAATGGGGCTGTGACAGCCAATGGTCGGGCTTCCAAAGACGAGAATAGTGGCTTTGCTTTTGTGAATTGTAGCGTGGGAGGAACGGGAAGAATTTGGCTCGGGCGAGCATGGAGGCCATTCTCCACCGTCGTATTCTCTCTCACGAGTATGACAGATATAATTGCTCCCGAAGGATGGAACGACTACAATGACCCTAATAGAGACCAGTAAGTATCCATTTAGGGTATGTTTGGTATGGACTACTATTGGACATGCCTGACGCAAAAAATCTTAATTTTACAAGAAAATAATCTGATTATTTGTTTGTTTTATTTATAGGAGCATCTTTTATGGAGAGTACAACTGCTCAGGTCCAGGAGCCAATTTGACATTAAGGGCACCTTACGTCCAGAGACTCAATGACACACAAGCTTCTACATTTCTTAATGTTTCTTACATTGATGCTGCTCAATGGTTGCAACCATTTATGTAATAAAACTATCACTACAAGAAATTTCACGAGTTGATATTTTTGCCGTAAAAAAGTCATTGATTGACGGTTTTGCTTATATGGGGACCGTCGAGAGACTTTGAAGACAAAATTTTCATCGTCAATATCTTGATTATAAGTAGCTTTTAGACATGAATAATGTCCAACATAAAATTCTCCAAATTTGAAACACAAAGACGTGAGATTTCTCGAATTGCAATTACGTTCTAAACTTCTTAGAAATAGCAAGAAATCAAATTTTTCTTTCCTTACAACAAATGCCAAAAACTATTAAGAGGATTTGACTTCGCTTTTACGGAAGAAGCAAACACTCAAAATATTAGCTTATTTTGAGTGCTTTTAAGGTAAACCAAACACGTCATAAGAATTCGGTTACTTAGGTAACCATGGTTACAAGTCAAAGACATCTTTCGCATACAAAGTTGACAAAAAAGTGTTCACCCACTTTCCTTTTGTCAGATGTTCACTTTTCTTTTTTGGAGTGCCTAGGTTCTGTTTAAGAAACTGGATTTGACTAAATTCCTATCCAACTTTTGCTAAAAAAAAAACAAAATTATACTTATTTTATCATACTAAATGCAAATTAAGTCAAAATTAGCCAATATATATTTGAAATGCTTGATAATTCGTATTATATTACCTTTTCAAATGTTATCTTAAGAAATTATATAATTTAACAAATGTTATTTATTCATGGTAAAATTCCGTGTAAACGAAGCATACTGTATACAATAAGTGCTTGTTTGGTGGAACTTAAAAAGTTGAAGTCAAATTAATAATTAATTATAATTACACATTCAATGGAATTTATAATTTTCACTCGAAAAATGCTATTCATCCTCAGTGAGGATGCATCCCCAGTCTACGTGGATGTAAATGATTGGTTAAATAATATGTAAAATTAAATGACTTATTTAATTTCACCTATCATTTAATACCACATTAACGCTACATAGATTGGGGATGCATCCCCTGATCCCCACTGGGGATGAATAGCATTTCTCTCTTCACTAACTGTTCGTCAATTTCTATGAAAATTTGCTATTTTTATTTTATCAAAATACTCTTTTAAAAATTTGATACAAAATTTTGTTTCATGAAATATATGCTTGAAATTAATTGTGAATTTCACTTCAACTTTTTAGCAAATTTTTAAGCTATTCCGAACAAGAAATCGAACAAGAAATGAATATGCTAAGAAGATGGGTTTCCTTAATCTTCCCATTTTTCTCCATAATGTGTTTTGTATGTAATTACCCAAGAAATTAGTAATATTGCATTATTAAAAATTGTGGGAGAAAATCTTATTCTCTACATTTGGCCTCTGCTTGAGCCTATTTTGAGAATATATTTTGTAAAATGTGATTTTAGCGATTTTTTTAAAAAGTTTATATGTAAAATTATTTTATTGAAAAAATGTATATTAAAATGAGTTTGAAAAAATAAGTTCTTGTTTGGTGAGTATTAAAATAAGAATTTTAGTAGATTTTTATAAAAGTTGATGAAATATGTGTTTCAAAAGATGTAAAATTAATTGTCGACTTTAAATTGGATTAAAATCTAAATTTTAATTTTTTTTCATTCATATGGATAAACCACGTGGACGTAGGTAGGATAGGGTTCACGAGTTTCACATAGCATTAGTTTGCAAAAAGCTTTTGAAAGAGTGCGCTTTACTTTTCACCATTCTCTTGTCACTCCCAACCCCACCTCCCACGGGCTTCCTGTCTACGCCATTCCCTCCATTTCTCCTCTTCTTTACACCTCTCTCCACTTCTCTTATTCCACATGCACTTTCCCACCATCAAAAAGTAACAAAAGCGAAAATGCATTCCATCACCACTCCACCGCCGCAATCACCTTCAGAGCCGCCGTCCCCGGCCGAAACAATTGACAAGATAATACAGCTTCTGACTCAGCTACTCCCGTCGACTCTCTCCACAATCTCCTTTGCATCCCGGTGGCAAATCCTCCGAACAAAGCTTGCCTCCTTAAAGTCCCTCCTCTCCGAAGTCTCGTACTTCCAGCACTGGTCCGACAACCCTTTGCTCCATTCTCTCCTTCCGAATATTCTCTCCACTGTTTATCGTGCACAGACCCTTTGCCATCAATGTTGCGATCCTTCGTTCAATCCCGGCAAGCTCCTTATGCAGTCGGACCTCGACATGGCCTCTGGTTGGTTGTCGAAGCAAATTCACGACCTCGACCTTCTACTTCGTTCGGGGGTTCTCCATCAATCCACTGCTATTGTTCTTCCTCACCCTACTGCAAACGCCTCGAAGGAAGACCTCTCATTTTTCGTCAAGGATCTTTTCACCAGGCTCCAGATCGGCGGCCTTGAGTTCAAAAGGAAGGCATTGGATTCACTGATTCAGCTTCTCTCGGAGGACGAAAAGTCTGCGAGTGTTGTCGCGAAAGAAGGGAATATGAGGAGCTTGATTCAGTTACTGGATCTTAATTCCCATGACTCTTTAAGAGAACTGGCTGTGCTTATTGTGTCTATTCTTGTTTCGATGAGTGATTATTCGAGAAAATGTTTGTTTGAGGAGGGGGCTTTGGGTCCATTGTTGAGGATTATAGAGTGTAGCTCGATGCCCATGAAGGAAAAAGCAGCAATGGCGGTTGAATTCATCACTGCGGATACCGATTTTAACGCTTGGGCAATTTCAGCCTATGGGGGTGTTTCGATTTTAATTGAATAGTGTAAATCTGGTTCAGGGACTGCTCAATCACACTCAATTGGTGCTATTAAGAATGTTTCCACAGTTGAAGAAATTCGAATTGCATTAGCAGAAGAAGGAGCCGTTCCTGCTTTGGTACAATTACTTGTTACAGGAACCCCCTCGGCCCAAGAAAAGGCCGCGAATTGCATTGCTATACTTGCTTCATCAGGTGAGTATTTTCGCGGCTTGTTGTTAAAAGAAAAGGCTTTGCAAAGCTTGCTACAATTGCTTCATGAATCATCGAATTCTGATACATTAGAACATGTTCTACGTGCTATTTATTCGTTATCTGATTCAGATGTAAGCCACCAAATTTTATTAGGATCAACCATGTTTATTTTAGAACTCGGGGAGCATATACAACATGGTTTTTGTGCTAGTGATTGCAAGTCCTCCTCCTTTCTTGGATCCTCACTTAAGATTTTATTTATGTTTTTGAGGCT